CACGTCGTTGCAAATGGCAAGATCTCATTCCTTTTGATGGCTGCATAATATTCCATTGTATATATATACCACATCTTCTTTATCCAGTCATCTAGACAGACATTTTTTAAGCAGATTCATTTATTTTGTTTTCCTATTTCTTTTTTTAATGCATGCGCATGCAATTTGAAATGAGAGACAGACAAAACAGACTTCTCTTTTGGACAGGGTAAAAATAGATTAATGTATAAAAGCAAAGTACTTAAAAGGTTAGTGATCTTTTATGAAATACTTTGGAATATTGAGCCAATTGGATAATTAAATTATCACTTCCAATCCAGTAACTTAACAATTCAAGTCTCCCTGCATTTACAAAAACAAAACAAAAAAATAATCTCTTCTGAGCCAAGTACAAAATGAGGATAAATGTGTTACCTTGATAACAGTGGTGATTTGTGTGCATTTGAAACACCTTTATCCCATACTCACCAAAATATTTTACTCTTGTCCTCTACTGCATATAGGAAAACTTACAGTTGGTTTTTTTTTTTAATTCTACTAATTCTACTCTGAGCAAAAAGTCAAAGGAAGATTCCGAATTAAAGTATAAATTCTCAGTATTTTGCCCAATCTGAAATGATTTATTACCTGGCCAAAAAAGACATTTTAACTTAGCTGAGACACAATAATGAGAGTGCCTCAGGAAACTTGATTATTATTCTTATGTTTTTAAATGTCTTCTGTTCTCTAAAGGCTACAGTTTTAAATAATATGAATAAAGTGATTATACAAATATCCATTTTTGTTCTCTTTTAGCAAAAGAAACAAAGTCCCTGTCACATAACATAATCGGAAAAATATTTTTGATTTTACCGTAGGCATAATAGGACATAAAGCATTTACTGACATCCTGCTGGATCTGGTAACCCTAAACCTTGGGACAAACAACTTACCTGGTAGTTGGATGCACCTCACTCAACCCGAAGTAAGCTTCCATTTTGTTTGGGTGTCAAAACTCTGAGAATTCTTCTTATTTGATTAAGTCAATAGTTTTAAATCATCAGTACTTGCCATGTCTGACATTCAGGGGGCAATCAATAAAACCTGAATGAAGAACAAATGAGCTTGAATGTAAGATACCCTTTGTGTGTGTCCAGCATTGAAAGAATGAATGATGATGCTGACAGTGAATGAAAATTATAGAGCCCAGGAGGCTCAGCCTGTGAGTTTGTATCTGTTACTTCTGGAGGGAGTGATCCTGACTAGTAACAGGAGATGATTCTGGCAGTTCTTGCTTTTCAATGTAATCTGTTCCTTAAGAATGTACCAGAAAACCAAATGGTTATAGTATATCCCTACAGGCTGCAGAGCCCTTGCACAGCCATTTCTAGAATCTTTATCCTCACTCTGTTGAAAAGGTAAAGTGACCAGAGTCACATGTGTAAATTTGTTGTGTAACAGTAAACAAAAAACCCAAATGTGAAGGAAGCAAAAAGTGAAACAGTGTCTAAGTTCTGTCTGATGTGGATTGGTTGGTAGAACCAGAGGGAACAAACCTGAGAACTGACTCTCTTCACCAATATAAACTTGTCCTTCCTTCATCTGAATGTCTCATGAAGAAACATGAACTGAGAGAGTTTCAAGGTAGAGTCATATGAACATTCCAATGGCATTTCCTGTTTTCTTCTAGTTGCAGGAGTTAACATCTTTATTAATAGTAAACTCGGAGTTTGTGGACTGGCGGAAATTCCTATTAGTAATCTCGATGCCTTGGATCATACCCATGGAGGAAGAGCTCCTCAAGACCCTGCAGAGGTTCAAGGCCGTGGATGAAGAGCAGCTGGGCACCATCACTTTCGAGCAGTATATGCAGGTTGCTACCAGGGCCTGGTGGCACTAACACTACTGGAGTACTTTTGACCTAAGAAATGTATTATTCACTGGTCTTGGGCCAGCATTCTGCCCCTCAGGTGTCCATGTCTGGGCACCCAGAGGCAGTGCAGACACTGTCCAAGTCCCAGGTGGAAGTCTAGCTTCCCTAGGGAAAGGGTCTGGAGAAAGAGCTGCTAGGAGAACTAAGAGCTCTGAAAAGAAGTCACAACAACTTCATTGTCCTTCTCCTAGCTCCTACACAGTGGTCCTTAACCTTGGCTACAAACTAGAATCACTTGCAGAGCTTTTAATACGTCTAATGCCCAATACCCAATACTCTGGGAGTAGTAACAACAGTACTACCCAGGGAAATGAACACAGGGAGAGGGGAAGGGCTTTTTCTCCATTTGGTCATGAGCATGGTGAATGATGAGATGGTTTGTGACAAGTTAAGTTTGAAATGTCTGTGAAAAATGCAGACCGAAGCGTCCAATCTGATGCAGCAGATGCAAAACAGATTGCAAGTCACTATCATGTAGGCAGTGATTAAATTTATGAGTGGACAAGATACCCAAAGGAAGTGTGGAAAGTGATGAATAACTCAATAACATGATACCTGGCCATTGGCCTGGGCAGGTAGGCCATATAACACGTGACCTTTTCCAGAGCAATTTTGGTAGAGTACAGAATCCAGATTGCAGAGGATTGATTATGTGAATAGGTCTCTAGGAAGTGAAGATAAAAGTCAATTCATTTTTTAGAAGTTTGAGTAAAGAAGGAGAATGAAACCCCATAACTAAGAGGGCCTGAATTACTTATTTTGTGTCTACTAATTGAAATCATCTTATTGCTCATCTTTTCACATTGCTGGTAGACACAAAAGATGAAAGTGATTATAAGGTTCTAATTTTGAAATAGGGTAATACTCTTTAGGTGCCTGTATCTTGTGTATATTTCAATATTGAAAGAGCACATCCCTTCCTGCTTCTCTTTTTGTCCTTAATTAATGGATGGCATGTGTATAGACAGCCCCTGGCGTTCCCATGCTTGTGCTGTTGAGCCAGAGGAAATAATACTTGAATATGAGGAGGTTCCTTCAAGGCTGGTCAAGACAGGTGCTTTGGCTGATTGGGCTTTGATAAATTTGCTTCCCAAGTAGAGCAATTTATAGATACTACCACTGACCTCGACTTAAAACTTGTGAAAATGATTTTGTCTAAAAATAAAAACAGCAGAGCAAAATTTACTCTATTTTCATCATGGGCTTAAGTTTTTAATAACTGAGCACTTGCAAAATTACCAACCTTCGCTACAGTATGTGCCAATTCCCACAGGATAGCAATTTAAACATCCTTTTGTACAAACATGAGACGAACAAAGGATGTTGGCAACTTTTACCAAAATGCTGAGCCAAAACCAGAAAGCTCCTTTACCAAAAGTATAAATTTCTTAGAGAAAGTTGGTGGCTGCATTTAAAAGAAAGAAGTACTTATTTGAACACCTCCTGTGTTTGGGGAGCAGTCCATTTCCCAGCTCAGCACTCTCCCCCACCCACCCAATTCCCAGTCCAAGGAGCCCCAGGATAAGAAGGCCATTTGGAAAGGCCCACTTGGTCATCCCACATGCCTTTCAGAGATTTCCAACACTTGCTAGCTCTCTCTCACACACACACCAAAAACAAAACCAAAACCAAAAAAAAGAAAAAAAAGTTATATGGCAAATGTCAAAACCACTTCTAGAGCAAAATTTTATGAGATTTGTAAAAATGCTACATTAGAACAGTAAGGTAGAATAACATGCATCGCTGAAATGGAGTTCTCTGGCAGAGGAGGGCTCTCTACACTGCTTTTTATTTTGTTTGTCTTTTTCTTTTCTTTTGACTAATTGCAAGTTCACCACAACAGCCACTTAAGAGTGTGCTGATTTCCCCAACTTCTAAAATGGAATGAGATAGCTGGTGAAGTCAGCTGGGCTGTGTACCTGGGCTGAGCTCTGCGAACACAAAAGCCTGTTTGCCCTCTACCCCCAGCCCTCCTGCAGCTGTCACATGCTTGCCTCTATGGTGTGAGGAGGCTGAGCCACTTCAGGTAGGATTCTGTGACAATGAACTCTCAGCTCACCTTCTGTCCGTGAGAATGCATGTGATTACAGGGTTAATGAGTCAGATGTTCTGGGATCCAAACAACACAGTGCTCATTCTTTAAGGAAAAGTAAAAAACAAAACAAAACAAAAAGACTTCAGCCATGATATGGGAAACAAAGGCAGAAGAAAAATTATTAAATTTCCTTACTACCTACAGCCCATTGACTAGTCCTTGAAACAGGCAGAGTGACAGTCTTCTAGGGACACAACTGCCTTAATATTGATACTTTGCTGGGGCGCCTGGGTGGCTCAGTTGGTTAGGCAACTGCCTTCGGCTCAGGTCATGATCCTGGAGTCCCGGGATCGAGTCCCATATCGGGCTCCTTGCTCAGCGGGGGGTCTGCTTCTCCCTCTGATCCTCCCCCCCTCTCATGTGCTCTCTCTCTCTCATTCTCTCTCTCAAATAAATAAAAAATCTTTAAAAAAAAAAAAAATATTGATACTTTGCTGAGGGCAAAAGCCAATCTTAGCCCAAGCCCCAGGACCCTGTAAGTTTACTTTAACATATAAAAATTCCTTTGGAAACTTCCTTTATCTCTACTCCCCAAGATACACATTGGCAATCATCCCCCAAGTATATGACACACCCCTATACATCTGAAGGGTCTCATGACTGAGTTTTTACTAAACAGTAATAAATGACCTTTCCTAACAATAGCTAGCCCCCTCAGGATCCTGAAAACCTTGTTTCCAAAACACCTGGGAGGCTTACACTATCCTTAACCTCCTCCCAACTTGAAATTATATGAATGGCCACTCCTCATGACCCCAGAACAGCTTTCTGCCCACAGGTCCTGTCCCAGAGCTTTAATAAAACCACCTTTTTGCACCAAATACGTCTCAAGAATTCTTTCTTGGCCTTTAGCCTTGAACCCTAATGTCTTTCCTGTGTCAGGCCATGTTTTAGCAAGAGAGCACAAGGGACATTTCCATCTTTTAAGGAGAAGTCACCTAATAATCCAGTGACTCATGATATGGTTGACAGAACCTTGCTTTATCAATTTAAACCCTACTATCCAGGCTCACATTTAACATTTCACATTGCTACAATTTTCACGGATGACTTCTTAAAAATCAGAACTTGTTTTCCAGTCAGGTTATTTTTTTTCCTTTCTAATGTGCCCTTCTTTTGTGAGAAACACACAATGTTCTCATTTATGCAATATCTTATATTTTTAGTAAACTAATATGAATGAATCCTTGGGTTTAAGGATCAGGGAAAATTCCTGTGCATCGAAACAATTAAACATGGAATTGAGAGTTGGTTGAAAAATGGTAGGAGGAATTGGGATCCAATCTCTATTTCTTTTTTCCCTTCTAGCTTCTTTTACCATTTCCTCTTTGTCCCCAGTTTCCAGCAATTTGATTATTGTGTTCCTTGGTGTGGTTTTCTTCATGTTCTGCTTGGTTCACTGAGCTCTCAAATCTCCATGAGTTTTGTAGTTGTTGTCAAATTGGAAATTTTTCAGGATTTTTTTTTTTCCTAAATATTTTTTCTGCACACCCACCCCATCTCAAAATCCAATCACATGCTTATTGTCCCACGGGTCACTGATGCTTGGTTCATTTTTTTTCCAGTCTTTTTTCTCTGTGCTTTACTTTGTATTCATTTCTATTCCTATGTCTTCAAGTTCACTGATCATTTCCTCTGCAGAGCTGAATCTGTTATTAATACCATGCAGTGTTATTTTTCATTTCAGATATTAAATTTTTTGTCTCTAGTAGTTCAAGTTGGTTCTTTTTTATAGCTTTCATTTCTCCCTTCATTATGTGCTTGTTTTTTCTCTATCTCCTTTAACAAATGAAATATATTTAGAATAGCTGAAGGAACATCCTTCTCTGTTCATTCTATCATCTGTGTCATTTTTGTGTTTGTTGTTATTGATTGGTGTTTATTCTGACTATGGGTCATATGTTATGGCTTTTTTTGCGTACCTAGTAACTTTATATTGGGTGCCAGATGTTGTGTATCTTATATTGTTGGGTGCCCAATTGTATGGGCACCTTTAAATATTGTTGGGCCTGCAGTGGTGTTACTTGGAATCACTTCTATCATTTCGAGGTTACAATAAGATTTATAAGGGTGGGTCCAGAGTGGCCATTAGGTGAGGGTTAATCTGGTCCCACTGCTAAAGCAATTATTTCTGGGGGCTCTCTCCAGTGCCTGTGTTTGAGGAGATCCTTCCACTCTGCTTGGTGGTAATATAGACTCTTCCTCTCAGCTCCATGTGAGGCTCAGTAATTGTTCAGCTTACTCCTTTCCTATGGTTCTTTCTCCAGCTTCTGGTATCTTCCACAAACACACATCCACAGATTGGCAAGTCAAGACTTATAGAGATCCCTCTGTGAATCCTTAGAGCTTGCTTTCCCACTCAGTGCATTGCTAGTATTCGGCCCTGAAAGTTCTAGCCATCTTGGCCTGCCTCAACAACAAAATCTGTCTTCTCAACTCAGAAAGACAACCAGACTCTATTTGGATGCCTCTCCTGGTGCTGCAGCCTGGGAACTCCTTCCAGCCTAGAACACTAGTAGGACTCCTTGGTTGCTTCCCTTAGTTCAAGAATTACTATCCTGTGTTGCCTATCGTCTAATGTCTGGAAAATCAACTTTCAGATATGTTGTTCATTTTTCTTGTTGTTTAAGTAATTCTGAACTTTGGTGCTCCATCATATCCCTTACCTATGTTCCTCATCAGTCTATTCTCCCATTGAGTGGTACTTACCCTCCACAGATTAGCTATTGGGCAAGGGTCTCCTCCTGGTCCATGCAAAAGCATATTCAAAGCCCAAGCCCATGCTGGAACTTACGCTTCTTCTGAGTCTTCTCTCACAGGGTACACATGGCCAGCGTCTCCTTTGTCCCAAATGAAAAGAAACCTTTGGGGGCTTCATCCCCTTACAAGTTATCCAATGCCATTCCAGCCTTCTCTCAAAGCACAGGTGATCCTTGGAAGGAAAGAAAGCATACAGCATAGGCCAGAGTCAGGTTAGACAAGCTAGTGGCTCTTGGCAATAGAGTGATGAGAGTAGGTGTCACTCTGGAAGATGGTAAGAGAGCTAGACTTGGGAACAAAATGCATATGTATATGAAGTGCTTACCATGTACAAAAATCAAGGTTGGAATGACATATTCTTTAAACCCAGGGAATTTATACCTGATGTTCAACAGCAGACATGAAATGGCAACACCTAAAGGAATGGACTAAATGTCCATTGTGTGGTATAAACAAGTCAAATTGGAGTTCAGAGGCAAGATCAAGGAGGGCATCTATAAGGATGTGTGATCAGAACAGAGCCTAGAGAGAGGTGCAGATTTACATGGATGGACAGGAAGTCGAACCTGGTAGGAGGGATGATGTGAACAGAAGAGCAAGAGTAGGAAATGGTTCCAAGCAGAGAATATGACAGATTAAAGTTTTGAGGAAATTGATACAGTTGCATGGTACAGGCTGAAAAAAATGAGACTGGAAACAAAAATGACTCAGAGCTTACTAGGATGGCCTATGACAGAAGTAAAGAGGCTCTACCCCAAGGTAGCAGGAGTAGGGATGGAAAGAAGGAAGAGAAGGGAGAGACATTGTGAAATAGGAATCAGAGGATTTGATAATTGGTATCACATATGGGCTGAGAAAGAGGGATGTCATTACAAAGTAGGCATTGAGTCAGTCACTCACTCAATGAAGATTCTTCCAACAATGTGCTCCAGCACCACACTAGGCTCTGAGAATAGATAGTCACACAAAGGGGACATGTGGAATGTGAGCTAGTGTTATGAGTGAAGACCCCTCCAGAAGGTTGCCATGCAGGCAAAATCTAGGGCAATGACCTCCAAACTTCATCACATGTCTAACAGATAAAATATAGCTAGCATCCCCAATATGTGGATTTTCATTTATAAATTGTACATGTGTACTACTGTACTAATACATTACTTATATTATCAAATTTTTAAGAATAAAGATTATATAAGAATGATATCAAAATATGTGTAAATGGAAGTTCTAGGATTTTTTCCTGCATCCCCCTGGTTTTTGAACCCTATTTTGGAGACCACTGCTCTAGACTGTTGAACAAGATGGATTCAATCCCTGTGGCTTTGAGAGGAATGATACTTGAATAATTTTCATTTTTATTTTTTGTATAGGCTGGTCTGTGGTTTACAAAAGATGAAGATATAAAAATTCCAGACAATCCTCTTGAACCCTTGCCATTCAATAGGCAAGAGCATCTTATAGAGGTAATTACTGAGATCCTTTAAAAAATTTACTACTATGACACTGGTAAGTTTCTTTGTCTTTTCTTCCACTTGTGTAATATGTTTTGGATTTTACCCCCTGGCCCCCAGTTCCTTTACTGTATCCCCAGAATGTAGACTTTAATGTTCATAAGGTGGCAGCACAGAGAAGTTCTGGGGGAGGAGACAGGGACCAAAATCTTAGACAGAGTCCCACTGTTAACTCAGTGTGATCTTGAACAAATTTCATAACCCTTCAGGTCTCACTTTCCTCATCTGTCAAAGTAAGCTGCTGCTCAGCACATTTGTCTCTGAGGGTCCTTCCAATTCTAAAAGCTTAGGGTAAGAACTGTCATTTTACCAACACAGTAATCGCCCCCTGCCTTGGGATACATCTCAAGACCCCAAATGTATGCCTGAAATTGTGGGTAGTACCAAACCCTATATATACTGTTTTTATGAGTCAAACTTATAAATTAGGCACAGTAAGAGACTAGCAGTAATAGCTAACAATCAAATAAAACAACTGTAACAATGTTCTGTAATGAAAGTTTTGTGACTATGGCCTCTCTCTCTCTCGCTCAAAATTTGTTATTGTGCTATATCACCCTCTTCTTGGGATGACGTGAGATGATAAAATGCTTGTGAGGAGATGAAGAGAAGTGAATGACATAGGAGTTGTGATGTAGTGTTAGGCTACTAGTGACCCTCTGATGATTGATCAGAAGGAGGATCGTGTTTCCAGACTGAGGTGGACCACAGTGGACTGTGGGTAACTGAAACCACAGAAAGCAAAACCACAGATAATGGGGACTACTATATATGTTTTTATCCATTTCTCTTTGATTTTGATTAACTTGAACAACATACCAAGGGTTCCATGACCCATCAGATTATTATTATCAATACTATTATTGCCAATAATGGTATTATTAGCCTCTATCCCTGAGCCCACAATAGAAAGCAGGATCTTAATAAATGTAAAGTACTCTGGCTTCAGTGTAAATGTTTAAAATATATGTAACACAACCAAATTCAGTAGGATATGAGAAAAGTTGAGTGGTGGATTTAGACAGCTCAGCAAACTAGGTGTATCGATAGTCCAATTTTCCAGCCAGCCATTAGTTTAAAACTGCAGTACAAAATTGAACATGACTCCAGTTATAGCCTTAAAGTGAGCAGTTCCCTTCAATTGGATGCATAGTATCAGAGCACCTCTCCCATGATAGCAGAAGAGCATATAAGAGAAAGGGGTCAAGGAGTCAACAGAGTCCAAGACCTGAGACTGGCAGGTGTGGGGGCAATTTTTTGTCTTTGTTGTGGTAGGAGTTTTCAATGTAAAACTGGAGGACTGAGACCAACCCTGTAAAGCCTTTGGAAGGCCATGCTCCATATGATTTGTGAACAGCAGTAAACAGGTTCTCTGACGACTGCTAAGCAGTGAAGCAGGAAAGGGACTTTGGGTGCCAAGGGAGGGAGTGGCTCCCACCTACTGGTGCCCAGACTGCTGGAAAATGCCTTGGAGGAACAGAACAAAGTTGGCAGCAGAGGCAGGACCATGAAGCCTGAGAAAGAAGTGGGACAAAGAATGGCTGACGTGTGTGTGTGTGTGTGTGTGTGTGTATACGTAGGTGCGCATGAGTGTGCACCCATGAGTGTCTGTCCAGAGGACAGAAAGGAGTGGTGTTTTCCACCCCTCAATGCCTCATAGACTGGATGTTCAGGATTACATAAGTCTCAGTGCTGTTAAACTGGGATTCAAAGCACAGATTCCAATGCTTGCAAGCTTCAAGGTCTTGATGAAGTTACCTAACCTCTCTGTGCCTTGGTTTATTTTACTCCCTCTCTGGCAGGGTTGTTGTGCAGAGTGAGTGATTGGCACATAGTGAGCCCTATGTAAGTGTTAGCTAAACAGAAGCTAGTCATGCTAACTATAGTTGGCTGAAGGATGGTTAATGGTTAACATGCTAAAGAAAGGTGTACAAAGAAGAAAGATAAAACAACAAAATAAATTTACCCCTTTGGCTATAATTAGAATAAGAAAGACCAAATGGGGGGGAGGTTGGGGAATGCCACACAGAGAGGGAATTCTGAGGGTTGGGAGCCCTGGGCTCTGTCACCAGTTCTGTCATGACTCACTGTAAGACTCTGTACCCTCTTAAGAAGAGGGCTTGAACTACAGTCTCAGGTCCCACCCAATTTCTCTGCTTTGTCACTTGTGCTCTCTGTGACCCAGGGCCCACCTCTGAGCCACACTGGCAGGGACTCCTGGAGACAGGCCATTAGCACTATCCATGGGCTTGAATGACCCCAGAGTCCCAGGCACTGAATGGAAGGCCCTGTTGCATCCAAGAAAGGAACCTTGAGATGGGTCTGTGTTGCAATCACAGTGTTGTCCCCTGACAGTGATGGTGTACTTCATGATGACTGACAAGGTTCCACAGGTCATGTCCTGGCTTCCCAGATTCCCACACACTCAGTGCCAAGAGCAGCTATTCCAGTATTTTAAAATCCTTAAAGATTTCCCAAGAAAAGGCGATTTAATTTTGCCATAATCAAATTCACAGATGTCTTAATCTCTCCACAGCTTCTATTCATGTGAAATCCTTCTATTACTTTGGGCTGGTAATATTTGTTGAAGCCAGGTTTGAAATACTAGGTGTTTGTTAACAGATCCCAAATGCCTATTTCCATCGCAAACCTCCCTTGCAAACCTCCTACATGCAACTGCCCATTTGACATCTCCACTAGAATATTCTAGTAGATATTTTGAACTCTCCGTGTCCAAACCTGGTACCTGAAGTCCCATCCCGACCACCCCACCATTCCCATCTTCACCCAAAGCCCCGATATCCAGTGGTTAGCACACTCTTTCCACCAGTGTGAATCCACAGTGGAAAAAGTCACTTACTGTCAATAGATTAAGTGTGGAGTTCAGAGCAGTGTTGGCAAGTTGAAAGATTTTAAGGGCTAGACCCCCAGTGGCTTTAGGTGTCACTTCCCCCTCTTTCCACTCACCGCAGGGAGATCTATTGGAAGCATTACATTTAGGAGTCAGAGCCCAGTTTGTCAGAGTGGTGATAAGGATAGACAGAGAGGTCCTTGTTCTGTGGCTCCCTTTTCCTGCTTAAAATGTAATCCCCACCACCTTTATTGGCATATTCTTTCCTAAATATGTTGATACCATTGATTAGCACATAATTTTCTTTAACATTAGGATTTTGAGCCTTACTCTTCTGTTTTTTAACTTAGCATATTCTCCAGTTAATACTATTCATTACCTATTATGTTTACTGATTCAATCCTCAGAAAGCGACCTTATTCCAAAGCTCCTGGAAGGATCCTTCATTGTCTGTCCATCTACTGCCTACCCATTTTAAGTCTTTTATCTTGGATTGAAATTCTTTTTGTGTGACAGTTTTTCTTTAGGCTATTTGCTGACCATGAGAAGGATCCACCTCAACTTGACTACACACAGATGCTGCTTTATTTTGCTTGTCATCCAGATGCTGTGGAAGGTGTCTATAGGGCCCTCAGTGTGGTCATCGGGACTCATGTCTTCCAGCCAATCGAAACTCTCCCTGTTATTGCAGAAAAGGTAATTGTGTTCCAGAAATGGACTAGCTTTGGGGTCCGGAGGGGATGCCAGAAGACCCTAAACTTCTAACAACAGAGACTCTGTTTGTTTCATCTCTGTATTTTTCTGGGTACCTAACACAGCACTTTACACATAGGAGGTCTTCAATAAACCTTTACTCAATTGGATTAAGAACTAGAGACCCACTATCCAAAAAAAAAAAAACACACCTTTGTAGTAAAAATCAAAATTGGCTCAAAGTTTCTTGGTGGAATCCAAGTTTGTTCTGTAAAGGATAGCCTTTATTTTACATGAAGTGCTGATCCTTACAAATGAAAAAGAAGTGGGCATCAATCCAGTCTATCTGTCATCCTATATGGAAATTCTATGTGAAACAAGTTCAGGCCTCAGATATCCCACATATATGTGACACTTGATAGTGTTTCAGGCCAAAGCCCAGCCACCTGAAATCCACAGGTACCTTGTATCTCCTGCATCCAAGGACAAAGAAGCTTAATAGCTAATAAAAAAACTCACATTCCCTTTTAGATTTCTAAAGGATTGGCATTCCCTAGCTTTTTTGGGATGGAAAAGCCTCAGAACAGGAGGCTAACTAATGCATTTATTAGGTGCCCATTTGCATGACTTGTAGTATTCCCCTGATATTTTGGGGACAGAGCTATGGTCCTTGTAATGGAGGACCTCGTAATGTCCTTCTTTTATGGACAGAGGATAAAGAGGTACTGCCCGGTTCAAACTCTGTAGATGTCATAGCCACACTTGTTTGCCTCTCATACATGTCTGTCAAAACAAAGTATGCTGCGTTCCCTTAAAAAAAAAAGTGGAGGAAGTTTCTGTGACAGCTTTCACATATGTGAAGAAATAGACCCTCTTAGATGTAACCCTGAATTTTGGCCCTGAGCAAATGGACAAAAGATGTCCTTCCCCTCCCATCAGGGCCAGAGTGAGGCCAGACAGGTACCCAGGAAGCTGACCACTCAGGGCCGTTTGACCCGATGTGCTGTAGATGTTACTTCAACACTTAACACAGTGGCAGAAAGGACAGCAAGAAATACTTGTTTCACTCAAGAATTCTGTCTTCTTAGACAGTGGAAAGTCAGTTTCAGCTTTCCCAAGTAAATAAGGAGTTAGATTCCAACCACCTCTGTTGGGCCTGCATTTGCCACTTCCCCAGGGATGTTCCTGTCTCCCCGTATAGGTTGGGCCTCCCTGAGCTAACTCTGGCATGGATCATGGCCTGCCAGGAGGTCTCAGTCAAATATCTATCTTCCAGGAGAGCTTCCCTGACCTCAGATGATGTCAGGCACCTCCTGTCATATGTTTCCAGAACATTCTGTGCTTCTTTCACGGTACTCGTCACAGTAACTACTTCTTCAGGTCAGCTTCTTTTCTAGACTTTAAGCACCCTAGGGCAGGGAGGGGCCGTCTGTCTTATTCTGAACCGGCCACAACCCTGAACCCGAATTACTGGCACAGAGGTCAGCAAAAATTTCATTGAGTGAGTCAGCTAATTAATTAATTAGCTTTGTAAATCAGGCTCTCTGCATAGCCCTGTGATCCACAAGGGATACAGAAGAGCCAAATTTTCTCCCCCGAAGGGACTGTGTGTAATTGCCCTCATCTGTGCAGAAAAGAATGGAAGAACAATGTCCCAAATGTGGAAGGAACACAATATAAAGGACAGATTAACACAGGGTCTTACTGATCAAAAACAGTTTTTATACCTTCTTCTTTCCCACTTCCCTATCTCTGTTTTTGCTATTGCTTCCACCTGAAATACCCTTCCTCTCATCCTGAAGGATCCAAGGCCTTCCCATTAGCCAAGGCCTTTTTCACCTACCAGATGATTCATGAAACCTCCCCTGATACTCAAGAGCAACACTGAGCATCCTCAACTGGGCCCCCTTATATTCAGATTCTCCCTGACAGGGCTGAGTACCACTGCATGCATACATGCATTTATTCAACACATATTTATCCAGCTTTTCTGTGTACTGGAAACCACCCTTGACCTGGGGATAAAGTAAGTAACATAAAGACTACATCGTATGCTAATAAATGCTACAGGAAAAAAAGAATCTAGGGAAAAATACAGGAGTTGGGGCAGGTTGCAATGCTGGGAAGAGCAGCAAGGTAATTGCAATTCTAAGTAAAGACAGCAGTAGATGCCAAAGCCCTAATTCCAAAGACCAGCCATTGCAGTTGGAGAGGAGTGAGCTGGAGGAGAGTAGTAAGAACAAAAAGTGACGGGGAGAGGGCCCTGAGGGCCACTGTAGGGACCTTGGCTTTGACTCTGCCAAGAGATGAGATGAGAAGTTATTGGAACATGGCCATCTGATTTAAAATGTATGGAGATCTCTCTGGCTGCAGTGTTGAGAGCAGACTGTAGGGGGATGAAGGAGGGAAGTAAGAAGAACTAGTAATTCAGGCAGCAGTTTGTCTGTTGAATACTACTGCTAAGTTATTTCTACCTTGAGTTGGGGACAACATGTTAGCTGCCACATAGCAAGTGTTCAGTCAGTGTTTGTAAACATGGCATAAAAGAAGGGAGGAAGAGAGAGAGGAGAGGAATGGAATCCTGTTTCCAAGGTAGAGAGGAGGTGAACAGACATTCCCAGGAGAGGCAATAATGGATCCAGGAGGCTGCAATGAGCTGAAAGGTCCAGGAAAAAGGAAGCATGTGCTAGAATTGTTGCTATAGCAACAGACAGCTGCCTGGGTGAGTAGCAGCCAAGCTAGCTAGCACAGGAAGGCTGCATCCCCTGTCCCGAAACCACTCATTCACAGAAGTTAGTGCCCCACGGGGAAAGCAAGCCCCTGGAGAGCTTCTCTCCAGAGCTCTTCTAAAGTCCAAGGACACTGCACAGGAACCTCCCCACAACCACTGCACCACACAGATGGAACCATCCTGAGGGGCAGGGGGGCAAAGAGCCTGCCTATGACACACCACACACAGAAGCCTGTTCCTGGCTCGGGGAGAACCCTAGGAGCTTGAGTTTTTGAAATACAGGATCTGCCCACCTCCCTCATTCTTGCTCACCCCTTGTTCTTACTATCCTGCCTCAAAATTATGCTACTCTTACTGTGCCCTTTCCAGCTCTGTTCTAGTTTCCTGGGCAACCTCTTCCCAGGAAGCCAGACTGAGCCTGCTCAGAAATAACACCTCCAACGGATCCACATTCACTCCCAAGACATTAAATCAGATCTCTGTTTTGCTTTCCGCATAAACAACTGGAAATCTCCCCAATAGTTTATTCTTCCTTACTCCACTCTGTGACTCATGCTGTTATATTCAATGTGTCACAGACCTTCTGTTCAAATCCATGGCTCCTTGAGTAATTTAAAAGAAGCTCAAGGGCGAAGCATTCATGAGTATGCACTAGTCCTAGTGAAGCTCTAAATAAGTTGACATTTGGGAAAATGGTTCATTCTGGCCTGCGGGGTTATGGTGTAGGAATTCAGTAAATTGTAAGCTTGAAACTCCCACATTTTGAAGATCTTGTTAAAGCATTTAACAGATGTTAAAGCAGAGCATTTGAGATGCTGGGGTTTGAAACATATAAGTTTTCATTCCATCTTACTGTTTTGACGCTTTGCCCATATCGGTCCCAAGGTCTGACCTTTTGTTCTGCCTCTGAGATGTGGGAATGAACTGATTGAATGACAGAAATGCATGGCCAGGGGCACCTGGGTGGCTCAGTCGGTTAAGCGACTGCCTTCGGCTCAGGTCATGATCCCGGAGTCCCCGGATCGAGTCCCGCATCGGGCTCCCTGCTCAGCAGGGAGTCTGCTTCTCCCTCTGACCCTCCTCCCTCTCATGTGCTTGCTCTCTCTCATTCTCTCTGTCTCAAATAAATAAATAAAATCTTTAAAAAAAACAAAAAAGAAATGCATGGCCAGGCACCATTCTGGGGACACGTTTGTTGGGAGATCTCGAGCCTCTGAGAGGTAACCGAGTGTGACATCGTGTTTGTTAGCACCACAGTCTGTCCTGCGGCTCAGATGCTAATGTGACTCACACAGAGTTTTGATGCCACTAGTAATTGCTCGTTCAGAAGCACTGGCTTTTCTTCAAACTGGCATCGCTGGTTTTGTTCACACAGCCACATTCAAAATTGTGATCTTTCAGAGATGTCTGTTGGAGGCCTCTTCTCTTGCACCCTCCACGATCTCACCAGGATGCTGATCTGGCTCCTTTGGTTCCCATCCCAGCTTCCCCTCTCTTCCTGCCCTCTCACTGAACCACTAAGTCTATTCTCTCTCAACCGTATGGAGAGCAAAAATAGCAAAAGCATCCTCTGACATTAATAAGAATTCTTCATTAAAATTTCAAATGTTTAAATTGTTGTGTTTTGGTAATAATTCATTTGTCCCAGGATGATTGTATTGGCTCTCTGAAAAGTTAGTCCCTCTCTAATTATGGAAATAGTGGAGAGAGACAATGCTCTTTCCCTGTTTAATTTAGGTATCACCTGCTCATCTAATCTGACTAGTCATTTGCTCACCCACAGGTTCTGTCTTTATCATGTCCATGCAGCATTTATATGCAGTCTCAATAGAAATCCATTCATCCTACACCACTCAGCAAGATGTTTTCATCTTGACTGTGTTCATTTCATTATACTAAATGTTCTATTGCCCTGGAAAACTATTGATAGGTAGCCAGTGTGATGATCCTCAAGCTTCCTAGGTGGACATGAAAAGGCCAGTTTTACATTTCTGCAATGTAACATTTCAATCGTTTAAAATAAAGAAGAAGTTGAATAGATAGATAGATGATAAATAGATAGGTAGATAGATAATAAATAGATGATAGATACATAGATGATAGATAGATGATAGATAGATAGATGATAGATAGAGAATAGATAGATATATTTATACTTAATTCCAAATTCTTCACCTGATAAAGCATTCTCTTTCTCCCTCTCTCTTAGATTAGATTAAATTCCCAATTTACCAAAGGATATAGAAACCCAACCCACACAGAGCTAAAGCAAATGCAACCTGTCTTCATTACACTGCTCACAGCCCCTACAAATCTCCTAAAGGGACTGACAACTATCAGAGGCTTAATTTGCTGCTGTATCATAATCCTTTTTATACCTGGGACTCTATTTGGAAAGAATTTGCATGATTAATTAACTTGCACGTAATACTTCTACTGAAGTGAATATTTATAGACATTGGATCCATCCTTTTATTTAAAGCCTAAATTTAACATTTTTCCTTTCTTGGGATAAAGGAGAATCAATATTCAGGTGTTTTCTGACATCTGACCCATCAACATTCTAAAAATGCCCATTTTTCTATGGCAAATCATCAAATATCAATTATGTCATCATGAAACACACACACACATAGACACTTTTATTACAGTAAATACAAGAAATACAAATATGTAGAGTATTTGGAAAGTACAAAACTAAGTGAAAAAGAAATCACCTGTTCCACTATCCGGAGGTAACCATTGTTTTCTCTTTACTGTGTCTTCTTTTCACTAATAAGCATAGATATATAAGAAAATGAGGATCCTAGTGTATTTATTATTTTCTTTTGTTTTCTTTTTGCACTTATTCTGTGAGTGTTTTCTCGTGTCACTAGGTATTCTTCTAAACCGTACTTTCCGTGGTAGTATAGTATTCCATCACAGAAATACACTATAATTTATGTCATCACTCCCCATTTTTGGAATTGCAGATTTTCTGTGTTTGTTGTAAGTAACACTGAACAAACATCCATATACAAAAGTCTTTGTGCACACTGATATTTCTTTACAGTCAATTCCTAGATCTGTAGTTACAGCAACAGGCAGGACTATTTTTCAGGCTTTTGATAAATACGAAATTACACCAGAAACAATGTACTCTTTCCCATACTCACAGGGCCAGGGCCTGACTTCTTGGCTCTTGGACACGTTTCAAGGAGCGGCCATAGCAATCCCACCTCACTTTCCACATTCAATTTGTTTTCTACCTTGCCTTCCAGTGTTTAGTTGGATTTAACCTCCAGTATAAAAACAAACGTTTCGGAAGCTCTTAGAATCTATCAAGCTTAAGTAATTAACTTGCCATACCCTCTCAACTATAGTCAATTTCCAAAGCAAATCCTTTAAAAATTGACGTTCATGTACAGAAGCCTGACACCAGTTACACTAATTCACTCCAGTATCCATTTATGGAGGAATCCGAGGTGCCTGGCATGCAGTAAACCGAAGCATGTATGGTGAGTAAGAAACGCCCCACACAAGGCATCTGTAATCTCCAGGCAGAATTGGTCTAGATTTTTGATGTGATCTCCAGTGCAGCTAGCACATTCTCCTCTATATTTGTTTGGCTAGGTTGTGGGAGGCACCATCATTTCCTTGCATGAAAAGTATGTGGCAACATTGGCGTGTTCTAAATGTCTCCATTACTGGAAAGACTTCAGTCCGGCTTCATATTCTCTTCATTTAATCATGCAGATCTCCTCCTTGACTGACATGAGTCCAGTTGAGGAATATCCTGAACTCGAGGGAAACTTTGTGAGTGAGGAAAGGGAACTAAGAGAAGACGGGGAGGGAAAGGAAGAAATCCCTGAGAATGCGAACACTGAAAAGATTTCCATGGAAAAACTACTCAAAGTGTTCCAAGGAGGAAAAGAAGTACAGGATGCTAACAGATTTGCCAGCCACGTACAGATAGAGAACGCTTACTCAGAGGTTGGTTAGATTCTTTCATAAAAGGGGCAACTTGTACATAAAAAAAGTCACCCTCAAGTTTTAACATAGTTTCATGGAAGTGCTTTCAAATGTATCATGGTATAGAAATTATGGCAAATTCCTTTATTAAGTAAAATAAGCTTTTAACATCTGCAGGACTGTAAAGTTAATTAACTTCATTTTCTTCTTCTTTAAAGAACTTCGTGAAAGTATTTCAAGACCTAGGTGCCAAGAATCTGGAGCCAGTTGAAGTTGCTGTTCTTCTGAAGCATCCTTTTATTCAAGATCTGATTTCAAATTATTCAGACTATAAAATCCCTGTGAGTATTACCCAAAGGTGTCCTAATTCAGTTGAGCTTAGGATCAGGACATGGTGGGACATCTCCAGTGTGGACTACAGAGACGGGGGAGAAGCTGGAGTTGGCGAAACCAGGGTCAGGAGAAGCTAAGCTGGTAACAGCATCAGCCCAGACAGGCCAGCCCATGATACCCAGAGGGTATCAAGGTCAGGGACAGTAGAGGTAGCTGGCAGTACTGTGGATGATGCTGTCAGCATTATGGAATTGCCTCATTAGGCATGGGGCTACTTTGGACCTAAGACAGAAGGTTAAAGTCGATGAGATTAAAGCTGGGTGAGTGGCCATGTTAGTGTTCCGGATCATCCCAGCTGCCTAATGACTGGCCTATGACTGAAGGGTATGGGGAATAGAATCCCCCTTTGCCAAAGAGAACTAAGGAGACCGTGACCCCAACCAAGTGCCAACGTATTCATTGCATTCTAATCATGATCCACACGGTCTGTGTTGTGCATATGGTGACAGTGCGCATGAAAGCCTGGGTGCCAGTTCCGTCAGGGAAGTACTCTTCAAGATGGAGAAACTGAGGACAGAACCCAGCAGACTGGACCAACTCAGAAGGAGGGAAGGAAGAAAAGAAGAGCCGTACTCCAGAGCTCACAGTAACCCAGCCATTCTGTACTACATATGCTGAATGTGCATCCGCCATGGCAGTGCCTGGTCTCCAACAGCAAGGGCCAAGGCCAGCAGAGGCAGACCCCCGTTCACAGTGGGGCAAGCGTACAACCTCCTCACATACCAGTTCAGCCGCATGAAACCTCCTTATTTGGCTCCTGCTAGGTGTTTATTGGACTATACAGGGTTTGCTCAGTTTCAGATAAAAGCACTTTCACTTTGATAAAATGAAGCTGATCTAAGATGCATTACTCCTGACTTCTCAGTGATAGACCTCTATGCCCAGAAATGAGACTATTCCAACTTGAATCTCTACAGACCTAAATTGGTTTGTTCTAAATTGCTGATCTTTTTACATAGAAATTGTATTACGTATGTTGGTAATCATTGAAATTGATTCTAACAAGCTAGCAGACTCTCATCCAGTAGTGAAGTGTGATTAGAGCCTTTTAGAACACAGGCTCAGGAATCAGAAAGTCATGGGACTGAATCTCAGGTATACTACTTACTAGATACCTGACTTTAACTTTCTGTTCATCCCAGCTTTCTCATCTGTTAAATGGGAATAACAGCCATTCCTATTCAAAGGAGTGTGGTGAGGATGAAATGAGACTGTGCGTAGGAAGCACACAGCATGGTTCCTGACACTCGGCAAATACTTCAGAAATGATGGCTGTTAACAATCACTCTTCACGACTGAGCACTTATTACTGAGGCTAGTAATGTAAGTTTCCAGGAGAGACAAAATGAGTACGAAACTCAGTTTCTGTTCTCAAACAAATTCCACTTCTGTTTGCAAGAGAATTTTTACATGCAAGAATTACCAGAGAATGATATAAGGTACGCCACCCAAGCAAAACATTATAGGAACTCAAGACATAGGACACTTTTTTTGTTCCAGAAGCTGAATCTTCAAAGATGACCAGGATTGTTGAAAGTGGAGGGACAGGAGAGGACGTGTACACGGATTTGCTGTTGGGATGGACAGAGGACAGCATCACAGGGAAAAGGAGAGACCTGTGCCAAAGGCATGAGCAGAGGACCGTGTGGGAGGAAGGGGAGGCCAGGAGGGCTTCTGAGTAGGGGCGTGATGTGACATCATCTTCATCCCAAAGTGTTTCTTTGTCTCCTCACCATATCATACCATTATGTCTCTACCTTTAATAGGGCTCTTAAAAAAAGAGTTGTGCCTCTTTATAGAAATAGGCCAAAATAGTTGGAAACATGGTTAGCATTCCACAAACATTTACTGTTTGCATACAAACTGGTACATTACATGTCCCTTTCCGGTTTCTTATATCACATATTTTCATTAAATATGAAATTAGGAGGAGGAGGGCATAGGTCAGTGTGACCCTAGAGTTAGTGGGGACAGAGAACACCAGAACTAGACAAAGGGGTGGAGAGAGAGTCGCCAATTGTGGGGATCTACCCCCCCTTTGGCTTTCCTCTGGGCTAGCGTCATTCTGTATAAAGTAGATTCCAGAGCTGTATGTTAGAATTTATCTTATATTAATTGCCAAGAACCAGTAGGAACATAAAATGATGCCACAATTTTTTCCTCCACTAATGGGAGGAAAACTCCGTACAAAGTCAGGCGATTTGGGAACGTCTTTACTCTGGCCAGACTAAATATGATTAACTTGCAGAAAAGATTCTCTTCAGCATTTTCCTGAGAAAAGAAAACAGCCAATGGATGACTGCCTCTGAAAGGCAGCCCCTTGAAAAAAGCTTTCCTAGGGAAAGCTGGAGTCCATGGGGCTCTTTTTCATTTATGCATTGCCCTCATTTTGGAAGGAATTTGATCAACTTGCCATACACCTCACTGCTGACACTTTGGACAGTGCAGTCCCTCTGCGCAGGACTGTCTCCAGCATGGCAGGATTCTGGGCCGCCGCCCACTCTACCCCAGGAGCACCTGCACAGACGGACTACCAACACCATCTCTGCACACTCCCCAAATCTCCCTGGGGTGCAGCGTCCCTCTCTGGCTGGATCCAGCCAGCGCGCGGTGTCTGACCGCCAGGGAGTCAGCCTCCCTGGACCAGCAGAAAGAGAGTTAGACTGTCTGTCACCAGTCGGTCTGTCCATTCACTCCTTCACTGCCAGAGCGCTTCGGCAGAGTCGGCTGTTTCAGCGCCTCCCTCCTCGCCATCACCTCTCCTCCCGGACCCTCCCCCTCAAATCCATGAGAGGACAGAGGACTACGTAAGTGGGACTCATTCGTATGACTGGGAATCTGAGAGTTGAGACTGTAACCTAAAAACCTAAGCCCTGATATTCTAAAATGAAAGAGCTTCCCTTTCTAGTAAGAAGTTCTACTCTCCTTTTCACAAAGCAAAAAAGAAAAAAGAAAAGAAAAAAGAAAGAAAAGAAAGATAAAAATAAAGGAAAGGAAAAAAAAAATCTCTGAAGATTCAGTTTCTGTCAAAGCCATCCTGTCACCATTTCTGCTCCAGATATCCATGTGCAAGTAAATAGATCACATTTTAAAATGAACTTTAACCACAGTGATGTTATTTGAAGATCTTTCAAGATAAGTAGAGCAAAAACTAGAATGTGGTTTTTCAGGTTAAAATGTTGTTTGCTGTTATAAACAGTGGGAAGTGAAGGTTGTTTGCCTGATAGCTTGTGTTTACAAGGTTTGTGTTTGGAAGCAGCAACATTTTAAAATATGTATTTGAAATATCTGAGTATTTGTAATTATTTTGGTATGTTTTATTTTTGCTCCTATTGGGAGGCGGCCTGGCTTTGTGGTTGAGAGAGTGGGCCCAGGAGCCACGCTGATTGGGTTCACACCTACAAACTGTGTGACCTTGGGCAAGTGACCTCATGGTGCCTTGGTTTCCCCATCTGTAAAATAGGGTTACCATACCCTCATAGGGCTCTTGTATGGATTAGATGACTTAGTACATATAAAGTGCTTAGCTCAGTGCTTGGCAGGTAGAAAGCACCCGATAATAAATGTTAGACATTATGAATTATTATTACTCTTACTGTTACTGGTTTGCTGGTAGTTGCAGTGCCCAGGAAATATTTCTGAGCCATGTGAAATTATATGTGGATAAATAAATAAGCTAGGGCATTTCATCTCCTGAATTCAGTGTCTGCTCTTTGAAAAGAAAGAAAAAGGCTTTCATTGTCTCAGTGCCATGATGACAAAGAGTCCAAACTGGTGTCCCAGAAATCCCCATGTGGCCACTACCTATGGGGAAAATCCAGATTTTGTGTTGGATTTTATAGTCATTCAATCAAAGTCATTTATTTAATTTCTACTTTCATAGATCTTATACAAAGAGGTCATTTCAAGTAATGTTCCTAAATTATTAAGAAAATGCTTTGGTTAAATAAATGTAACAAGATCAATGAGGACACTGTAACTGGGTTGTTAGTGAGCAAAATCAATTAATTTCCCATGACCAATATATTTAAAATGTAAGTGAACACAAGATTTCCCACACCAACCTAATAAGTGTAGTCTCTTCTAATGAACACATGCTGACTAAATGTAGATTATTTTTAGCAAACCTGTAAATCCAGCATATATCCTTGAAATTAAGGTTTCCATTCAATAGGAGATAATAATAAATCTTTTAGTGTTAAAATCCAAATACCACAGGAGAATTTCTTATAAGTACATGAGTTGGGACCCAATTAATTATGTGAGGACAAAATGATTTATTAAGGATGACTTGAAGGAACTCTCATCCCACTGTAACTTCAGGGTATCTGACTTTAAAATATTCTCCAACCTTCTCCTTTATCTCCCTAACAAAATATGATGGCTGCTTCAGCACTTCGTGTTTTCAAAGCACCCAGGTCAAACATTTCCAGACTCTCTTGGCTTTTCTCCAATAACTGCTACTGAAAATTATGGCCTCTGACTTCAACAGCAAACTTACCCAGGGCTGGCTTATACATCTGGAGCTTATGATTTTGTCTGCGCTGCGGAGTGTCAGGTGATTCCAGGTCAGCTCACTCCTTCATCCCCAAGTGAGCATTCAGTAGTCAGCATTAGTTACCTTAAGTACACTATTCAAAGGAGACGTGTTATTAACAACTGTGGTGGATAGGACCAGAAAGGTCAATGGTGAGCAGCTGTTCTTTTTCACATAGTTCACTCAAGTTTGACCTCTGACTGCAGGAAATCTGTATTTTCAAAGAACAAGGTCTCACAAGAAAATGATTCACTATGATTCCTGGTAGTGACTGATAATAAGCAGTGTGTGTCACTTGGCAGGGGTCAGCTCAAATAGTGAACTAACTCATGTCTTCTTGCATAAAATGACCTCAGTCAAATTGAAACCTTTGAAACTCAGCTTTGAAGAAAAGAAACTTACATTCTTAAAGCATTTCCCTAAATTTGTGGGGGAAAAAAAAGAAACTGCATATATATAATTCTACAGTTTCCACGTGTGTTTGTACCCCTTCTATATTTTGATGCTGTTTTAAATTTATGTTTTCAATGTCTGTGATGTAAAATGTAAGATGCTGGTATTTTAAATGGATGAAAAACAAATCTTCTATTCCTAATATTAAAAAATAAAATAAAAACATGGAGAAATGAGACAATCTCCCCTCCAAATAATCTGCTGGTCTAAAATTCTACAAATCTGTAGACATGATTGATTTGGCATTAGAATTTTTCTTTAATACAAAATAAATACAGTTGCTCATTCATTAATAGGGAAGTAACACTTTGGCTTGTTCATTATGTGCCAAACTATGTGTAATTGCTTTTTACAAATGTTATTTAATCTAATAAAACAATTCCATTCATTATTAGATTAGAAAACAAAGGCTCCAAGATCTTTGATATCTTCCCAAGGGTACAGCCAGTAAGTTGCAGGGTGACATTTAAACTAAATAGAGCACCATTTTCTTAAAGAAAAAATAAAAACAATTTACTGTTTCATCACTCCCATATTATGATCATTAATTCTAAATCACTAATTCTAAATCACTTATTAATATTTGTTATTTCTCTTTATATCTCTTCCTTTAGGATATTAAAATAATTCTCCAAAGGAGTGAGCATGTACAAGGAAGTGATGGAGAGAGATCTCCTTCGAGACTTACAGAAGAAAAGAAATGAAGACAAGAGTGTGATTTTTATAATTTGACAATGAATCTTGCAAACATCAATGTAAACAAGGTGTTGGTCATATATGTTGTCATTGTAGGTATAGAAATGACCCCTACCAGGTTATGAGGAGCAATGAAAAGGGGGCCTTCCTTAACTCAGAGAATATTCTATAATAAACCTTAATTACAGAGCAAAAATCCAAAGAAAGAAGGAATGCATTTTGAAGTGATTCTGAAAATAGACGGCATCAGACAATATGTTCAAAAATAAACACACACATAAGTCATGAAAAGTCCCTCTGAGAAGTAAGGAAACATTAAGCAAACATGGTGAAAATCCCCCGAAGCTCCACATCAGGGAAGTACTGATATGTACATTTTGTCGTTCTTGCTCCACATGCAGTAGAATTCTAAGGTCCATCCCACTAGCCAAAGAGAAGGATGCATCATCAACTGCTGGTACAGCCACCTCCTATCATCTATTCCTAACCCTTTCCTAATATAATACAATGTTTCTCAAATAGATGGATGTATTTGCACAATTATATCTGTTTACTTATATAAATTAGTGACTTAAATTCAGTGATACTTATCTCAAGAAAATGTTTTCTTTTTAAGTGAGTGATAAATGTATTCTCAGTGGTGAGCCTTCTGTGAAATCTCTGCTTGGTCTCCATCCCCTCCCTGGCTGCTCCTTCTGAGGCTCCCTGGCGGCTGGATCCTCCTCTCTTTTCCTCAACCTCCAAATGTTGGAGGGCCTCAGAACTCAGCCTCCTCCCTCTACAGTCAATCCCTGGATGACTCGTCATTTCCATTACTTTGTGGGTATTATAGAGGCTAACGCTGAAATTTCTAGTCCCATCATTCCCTGGAATCCAAACTTCGCTCATACTACCCATTTGATTACCATATTAATGGCTCATAGTCATCGCAAACTCAACCTGTCCAAGCCAACAGGGGGAACCTTTCATAATACAAGTGAGGTCATGTCACCCCTCTGCTCCAACCCTCTATCGGCATTCCATCTCATGCAGCATCCAGCCCAAGTTCTCGCCTTAAACTTATCCCTTGCTACCTTTCTGATCTCATCTCCTGCTGTTTTGCCTCTTGCCCACTCTACTTACATTACAAATCCACCTTGTTGAACCTAGAACATACCTGCACACTTCTGTCTCAGGTCCTTTGCAGGTACTTTTTTCTCTGCCTAGAATGATTTTCTCCCAAATATCTGCATGACTTGTCCCCTCACTTTGTTTAGGTGCCTGTTTATATGACACTTTGTCAGGAAGGCCTTCCCTGAACACATTACAAAATAGAAATAACCCACAGCCCAACACAACATAATTTTTTTCCATTGTACTTATCAACATCTGACAAACTACATGTTTACTCTTTTGTTTGCCTGTCGCTCCACTAGGCTGTAAGTTCCATGAAGTCAGAGATTCTCTTGTATTTCCTTTATTACTCTGCTCCAGAACCTAAGATTAAAATCATTGCCAGCTTTACATTTTATTGATACATTTGTGCAAAATATGTGGAAATACCACACTTAGACTGATCACTAAAACAAGAAGCAATCCAAAGACAATTTCTATTGTTAGAGTTATATTCTCTTTCTGGAGAGTGACACATTTCCTTAATTTGCATCTTGTGGGCTCCATTACCATAACTCTTATCTTCAAAATGATGGAGGATGGTGACCCAGAAGCACAGAGATGGAGAAGAAACTCTGCCAGAGATTTCAAAATTCAACTTAGCTGGTTTGCATGCAATTCTAGTTATTACCAGATAATTCTAGTTATTCTAGAGAAGGGAGGAGGGAAATATCTGAAAATCGAGTTCAAATAAATAAAATATCATGATGAGGACACAGGCAATAAACTAATCCACATTTCATCAAGGACTGAACAAAACAAGGCAACATTACTTTACAATAGAAAAAAATTAAAAGCAGAGCTAACAGTATCCCTTGCTCTCATAATGTTCTTGTACAACATTGTTAAATAAGGACATTGCAGAATCTCCCTCCTGAGGCCCATTGACTCATCTAAGCCGTAGGAGAGCAACCACCACATGAAAGGTCTCCCTGGTGGGTATTTGCTACCATGTCACAATCTCTTAATCATCAAGACTAAGCAGATGTTGTGACTGGGCGTTACCCAGAGCTATAAAAGGAGCTCTCCCGCACAGGTCCTGGGGCAGGCAAGGTGTGGAACTTCACACTGAAACTAGAGGCTGCATGGGATTCTCCCAGACAAAAGAAGAATGTGCTAGAACTCATCTACCTGAGGGCCTTTCAAGTCTTATAATTCTAGGAAATGCCCAACCATCTTCAAATCATTCTGATGCTGTTTTGCACTAAATATTACTATGTCCTCCAGCTGCTGCCTTTGTGAGATGGAAGTCTCTTATCTTGGTGGCTCTCTTCTGGATATCACTGTGGCCTTTACAGGATTGTTCATAATATCCTTGGGAACAAAGTCAACAAATATAGACTGAGTGCAAGGACAAGTGAGTTCAGACCCAGTGGAGGGACACAAAAGATTCATCACACAAATTATTCATTATCTCCCTTCCTCAATGGACTGTTAGCTACAGAAACTACTACCCTGGTCTATCTTACTGATCTCTGTGATACAAAACATCCACAAAGATATTCAAAAAGGGATATAGGATCCAGGCGAACTATAATTATGGTTGACACAGTGTTGAAAGAGATTTGAATTAAATTATGTTTAATAAGAGAAAGAGGACCCAATAACAAGGTTAAGGGACTAATAATTGGTGACTATAGTTAATAATAGCTGCTAGTTTTGAGGGTTTACTATGAGGCAGGCACTCCACCGAGAGCTTTACAAGCATTGTCTCACAACTCTGTGAGGTAGGTACTCTTAGGATTGCCATTTACATAGAATGAAAAGGACATTCAGAGAGATGATTAACTTGCCCCAAGTCACACAGCTGGTAAATAATAGACAGACTAGGAACTCGATATTAACACCAAAAGCCACCCTCTTGCCTGGTTTGCTCAACTTATGTACAAATAACCAATCGCACAAGCACCGGATGGAGGAAGTATGGCTTAGCTGTGTTTAAAAATAAAAACAAAGGGTTTTGTTCAAAGCAATTTGACTAATTAGCTGTGTGATGTGGCCCCTAAAGAATCCAATGCCCTCAGAGCATTAGTGGCTGTAAGGGAGATGCTGATTTTCCTCTGATCTGCGGTGGTCAGACCTCAGCTGCAATTCTGTGTGCAGTTCATGGTAACACGCTTTAATATATGCAGAGTCTATATATGCGGAGAAACTCATTTTTTTTATTCAGAAGTGAGGAAATTCAAACCCCTCAGCCTTAGGCTTGAGTAGAGAGACTTCTAACTTAAGGCACAGAGAAGTACTCTCTGCGGTCCCCAGGGATAAACCAACACTCATGGTGAATGTTGCAGCATGACAGATTTCAGCAGCTGCTAGCTCCCTGTTGCTAGAAGAACTCTGACAGAGGCAGAGTACCATGTGGCAGAAGAGTTGGGTGCCATGACAGGAGTGCAGAACTTTACCCCTTGTCTTACTCCTACTGCATTTCTGTCTCTATTGAATCAGCTAATCGGCTCTGCTACCTCAACTTCCATCGATCTCCTCAAAGGGGCTTTTCTGCTTGGTCTTCATTATGTATGGATCACACCTTTCTTTAAAGCATTTTGACTATGCTTATCCCACTGTATGAGCAGCCCCTATTTCCTTGCACTAGAAGCCCTACCCATAGAGCCCAATACCATACAGCAGCCACTTAGCTGTTACCCTGTCTGAGTCAGCTGAAGACTCCCTAAGGGAGGATTACAATGGAAGCAGATGAGATACAGATTTTGGATGGGGCATTTGGCAGGATGCCCCATCCATCTCTGAGGTTCTTTGAGAAGAGCTCCTCCTTCTTACTTCTGATTCTCCATTAATGGCAACACCTGCTGTTCTCCTGGTCTTTGACGCTCAGAACCTGGGCCGAGTCCTTGCCTCCTGGTTGTCTCTCCCCCTTCACACCAGAGTCTTATTACTCCATATAAATATCTCTTACATCTGTCCTCCCCTTTCAGTTCCCACAGTCCCCAGCCTGTTTCAAAAGCCCTCAGAATCTTTCTTCTAGGCTCTTGAATAGCTCTCCATTGTTCCCCTACTTTCTGTATCTTCTACATCTTCCCTTTGTCTACCCAAATCCAGCCTCTGCACTACTTCCAAAATAATCTTCCTGAAACTCTGCTTAAGCATGTCACACTTTTGCTTAAAAAAAGTTCCCTCTACCCCTTGCTATCAAACAAATTCCACATCTCTTAGAATACTATTTATAATCTGACTCTTTCTATATTCATCATCTTTTTCTCGCACTCACCTTCATACAGCTTCATTCAACATAGCCTCCGATACTTACTAGATAATAAATATGGAATGAAGTAATGAAGAAGGGATGTTTCCTTTTACCAGAAATTCTAAAATGTGAGAACATCTTTTAGAGTAAAGATGTTCCTGTAATCTTTTTCACCCCTTACGCTAGATCTGTTGAGAGAATTGATTTCATTTTCTGAGGATTATTTGTGTGTGTGTGCGTGTGTGTGTGTGTGTGTGAGTGTATGGAGGTGGTAAGAAGATCACTTTCCTCCTCCCCAAATGGCTCCCTGCAGTTCTGGAGAAGACAGGCTGAGTGACATCAGGGTACATCCCCTGGAGGCTGACTGACTCATGGAAGCTAAGGAGAACCAAGAATTCTATTGTAATCAGCTCCTTTGAGGATCTGTAGACTAATCTAACCCTGAACAGGTCGGCCCAGCAGACCTCACCGTTCGGGTGCCGTCTAAGCCCCTCCACCACACCTTACCCATCTTATCTAAACAAAGGGCCCTAACTGTGCCCCAATACCTTTGCAACTTAGTCTGCCTCCTCTCCTATTTTACTGGCATATTTGACTTAATAATGAATTTATGTTGCCTGTTGGAGTAGCTCCTTCAGCCTGCAATAGTTCTCATGTTCTCTGACACAGACTTAGGAGGGCAACCTCTGTTACTAGAGGTGTCACCAAAGATGCTGTTGATCTAGGGGTAAACAAATCGATGAGCACATTCACTCTCAGATTCTTAGCATAAGAACGGAGTGAAATTTTGTTTTTAAGCCTGTGTCAAAACAAATCTGGAAAGAGATGTCACTAGAGTCTCGTGGTTGCAGTTTA